TTTAGAAAAACTCGATTTTCTCGCGTTCTATGCGTCCTAGCGCAAAAATACGCCCAGATTCGTAAAGGGCGCGACGAGACGCATCGATTTCACTTATAGTGAAGTCGATTTGAGCGATTTTTTCTTCGATTTACAAATTCGGCACACGGAGTTCGCCGTAGGTCGGGTTGAAATATGACCGCAGACTATACGGAGAGAAAAATACTGGAAAAATTACGGAAATTTTACGTAATCGTGGGGCGACCTTGGGGAAAAGTACTGGAGGTACTGTAAAAATTATCCTGACAGTTTCGTAAAATTTCCTGCTCGCTAGGACAATTTTTACGGAATTTTCAGTACTTTTTTCCGAAAACCAAGGTCACCCCACGAATACGTAAAAGTTCCGTAATTTTTCCAGTATTTTTCTCTCCGTGTACAAACACACCGGCAGATAAAAATCGAAGGGTATTCCAAACACGTCAATATCGGTCTCGTCCTATCTATAAAAGGTGATACACCAAAATTAAGTTGGGCGAGAGTAAGATTGGCTAACTTCATGCGTAAGACTTTTCTACGACTTGGCTACGTCATCATCAACACCACGGAATCAAACGGCGCGCGGAGCGCGCGTTCGGTCCCGTAAAAATAAAGCGAATAAAATAGAAAACATATAAGCGAGCGGAATTTCTATGGCGAATAAAGTTTTCTATTTGCGTTATTTTGACGATGTAATATTTTTTTCTGCAATATTTGAAGAAGTCACCAAATGCATACAATAATAAAAAAAAATGAAAACGATATTTTTTTAAATAAAAATAAAAACAATGAATTACTTTAATTTAAAAAAAAATTATTTTGGCAGCCAGGAAAATAAGTAATTTATTTCCGTCCAAATGTTGGGGCTGACAGGTACCGTCTCGTAGCGTTTTCCATTAGAAATTTTCCTCCAGAAAATTCAATGAGAATTGGGGACAACAGTTGTTTCTCATCGTCGAAAAATTGTTTAATTTCCTCGCGTCGCGATCTCTCGGAGTAATTCGAAATCAGTGGGTGGGATGTTGCTCGGTGAAAATTCGTTCAATTTATTTACACCTCGTGTACAATTGTTTATCTTATTGGCAGGCCGACTTCGAGCCAAGCTTGCACGCAAGGAGTCACTGTCACTGAAACTTGCACTGCGGCCAGACAGGCAGGAGCTCATAAACCGTAATATTCTGCAAATACAGTCTGACAATGAGAGACAGGAGAGCAAGGAAGCCATTGGTGCACGGCTCATCAGGTAATTAGTCGTTCAGTCATTCACAATCATCACCAGTCACCCACACTAACTTGTCCTAACACCCAATTTATTTATCTATTTCAACTAATTACAACTGTTGATTGCTCTATTTCATGATTAAACAACATTCGAGTAATCCCTGGCCTCGACTAACTCCTGGGTCATTTTTTTTTTGTGTCTACTGTCGAGATATTCGTTTCTATTTTCAATTTAAGTCACTCGCTATTTCTATTACTCCCGGTAATGATAAGAACTGCATGTGGATGTCTGATAAGACTACATGCAGGTAGTGATGATATTATTAATACTTGTGTTTGTGGATTTCAGGCGACTTAGCATGCGACCGACCCAGGAGGAACTGGAGGAACGCAATATTTTGAAAAGTGAGTGCATTATCTATCACTTTTATCCATTAAAAATTATTTTCTCAATAGAATATAAATTTCATCAGATGTTGAAAGTCTGGAGGCGCGTTAATGATAGCAAAAGAATAATTGCCATTAGTTGAGAGAGTGAAGTTGTATCGCAATTAAATTTATTCACAAAGTTTAAGTAATTGAGAATCCAAGTGAAGAGAGATAACGCGCAATATGTCTGAATGTAAGAGGAATATCTCAATTTTGCTCGGAATATCTTTTGGAGAATATAATGAGAGCTACCGAAAAGGTCTCTAGAAAATTTTCGATATTTTCGCTAGAATCGGAAATAATTCGAGAATTTGCATGGTATTTAAATAGACTCGTTACTCTTCGTCGTGAATCGAGTCTACCATTTGAATTTTTATGATGGATATTTGTTTTTATTTGTTTTTAATTATGAATGCAATCAACAACAAATTGCCTCGAGGAGAAAAGTAATTGAACGCGAAACTAGTGGAGACAAATATTTACGAAATTGATTGAAATCTATAGAGAGCGATGATTGATTGGAATAATCTATTTTTGGGTGCAGTTTTCCTGTTTTTATTCTAAAATTGAGAAAAAGTGGCGGAGAGTGGATTTTCCGAGTGATAAATGTGAGGAAATAGAATTTTATAAATGGAAAATAGAGAAATAGATTGAATTTATTCGGACAGTACAATGATGATTGCACATTACTGTTCGACAATAGTTCGCGTTAGAGTCAATAAAATTCAACGTACGAGTGAAACGTTGGGGAATTTTATTTTAGAACAAAGCCCAGCCGAGGAGAAGAAGCAGAAGGAGGAGAAGAAACGTTATTTGCTTAGAAAATTGAGTTTTCGGCCTACGGTTGAGGAGCTCAAGGAGAAGAAGGTAAAATAAATAATAAATCATTTCCCTATAATTCCTATTGACTCTCTATTTTTTTCCTTAAAAAAATGGCAATTCCTTCCTTTATCTTTCATTCACTTCTTTTATTCCTGTTGATTTGCCCCCTGGATTGCTCACGCTTGATTTTTCAATTGATTTATTTAAACCGCCTTTCAGATCATCAGATTTAATGATTACATCGAGGTGACTCAGGCCCACGATTACGACAGGCGAGCTGATAAGCCGTGGACTCGACTGACCCAGAAGGACAAGGCGGCCATTCGGAAGGAACTCAACGAGTTCAAGAGCTCGGAAATGGCTGTTCACGAAGACAGTCGACACCTTACTAGGTAAATTTTTTTACTGTTTTAATTTTTACAATTCTTTTATTTTACGATTAAATTTCCTTCAACATGTGAGAAATATAAATTTTCACTTCTCTGTGTAATTCATTAATTTATATTGTTCTTTCAATTGCAGATACCATAGGCCATGACAATTGCAATGTGTAGAGGTGTTAAAGTGTAGTGCAGTTATCGTGGACGCGGTTATTGTGGCGTAATTGTGAATCGTCAGTCAAAGGAGATGAAAAATCAGCTGAGAGCCTCGATCTTCCTCGATTATCTCTGTTAGAGCAATTGTTACCGTCTCCCGCACCGTCTGCGATGATGATTAATGATGTGATAGGGTGGTGAGTCCATTATAGCATTGATTTTGCGAGTTGAATCAAATTATTGGGACTCTTTCCCCCCGAGACAAAAAACAAATGATAATTCATTGGCACATTTTAGAGGTATCATCACGAAGGAATCATTCATACGTTAATTGACAATTTTTAATGACACAAAAATACGGTGTGAATTATTTTTAATCATTCCATTATCTTTCGTTATTATTTTAATTTTTTTTTTTGGAATTCTCATCGTCAATTTTCGGGACAAATGATTGAAAGGTATTCGTTAATTCGTGGAATTTTTGGTGAAATGTTGAATGTGTTTTAGTTGTTGATGATTATTGAAAATTGTCGTTGATGATTTTTTTATTTGCGGTTATTATCTCGATTTCTGGTGGCGTCTTCCAGGGAAAATCAGGATGAAGTGTTTCATCGTTTTATATAGAACTGAACTGAACTAATAATTTTGTTGAGTAATAAATGACGAAAATTAATTCCCAAAAATTGAAAACTCATATTTCAATTAATTTCACTCCTTTTATTTAACAATTTAATAACTCAAGCACTGGAAAATGAATTGAACTCTGGAGTTTCCACTGAAAGCGATGAATAAAAATTCTCATTAATTTTGGAATCAATTGAAACTAAAATTAATTAGTAATGAACTATCGAACGTGATAAAACGAGGTCAGCACGTAACGATGAATAAACAATGGATATTGTGCAATTAAATGAACAAAGACAAAGGTAAATTACTCGTGATTGTAAAATCTAATTGAAAAAAAATACAATTGTTACGTTATTACGTTTTAGTTAATTACTCGCATGAATCAATGGCCGATTGAATTCCTCAAGCAAATCAATGACGATTCATTGACTTGATTATCACGACGATAACAATTACTATAATTTTCTAAACAAATTGAAAAATACTCAAAATAAATGAATTTGTTTTAATTATGAAAAGGCTATTGAGGTCTTTCGATCATTTGAGGTATTATCAAGTGACGAAATATTTGAGAACTGGAGTTGAAGTGAATTTACCAATTTTTAAATAGAAAAATAATGAATTTTGTGTTGAATAATGAAAACACAATAAACAACGAGACGTAAATGTACGAGTAAGGCGCTTTCTCTGTGCGGCCATTTTGGATTTATTGATAACGAAAAAAATTAATAAAATTATGTAATAAGGGATGAGGGACATGTGATCTTTGGACGTGAGTTCTGGGTTGGAGATATTAATATAAAGGGGATGAGTCATTCTCATTAATTTTCGATAATTATTACACTAGGAAATTAATGAAAATTCATTTATCCCCTTGATCAATCACACAATCGAGTAAAATCGATATTTTCTCCCCTTCTCGGTGAATATTCAGCATCACCAAGGAGTTACTGTTTGAATTACTGTAGTTGAGACATAGAAGAACGTTTTTAATATTTAAATGAGAATGAAATTTGTGAAGAGCGTGAGATTGAATTTTTCGGCATGAAAATTCAATTTTCCAACGTTTCAACTCCCTTCACTAAACAAAAGGAAAAAAACCCAAAAAAATGATATTCAAAGGCTCTCGTTCCATCGGTCAATCACCAACGACTACTGTGTAGTCGCAATAATGAAGGAAAATTTTAAATGCGATAAATAAATCTAATGAGAAAACAAATTTAACGAGCATTAGAACAAATTCGTTTTTTTCCTTTTTCCCGGGCCAAAATCACAGGCAACGGAAAAAAGAAAGAAATGTGTGATTTTGTGAAACATATAAATATATAAAAATGTATGATATACTTACGATCAATTGATTAATTAATGATAACAGTGAAACAATTCATAACTCTCTGTAAATAAATTATAAATAATATAAAGAACTTGCGATACGAGTAAGAAATGCTAAAATGCTACCTTTGCTGCATATATATAATATATACATAAATATATATATATATATATATGATGAAGCAATTAATAAATTTGTAGGGATGAAGTTCGTTTGTGTGAATGGAAATGCAGGGAAATTCACGGAAAATTGTGGGAAAATCGGGGAAAGCACGAAGAATTTTCCGGGTTCGAAAAGTCGATATTTTGTGTACAAACGGTGAAGAATAGGTAGTGGGGAGGTTTTCTTCGTGGAAAATTATGGAAAAACCTTGGAAACTGGAGGAAAATGAGAAAATAATTTTTCTCCAAATATTCAGATATTTTGATTTTTCAAAGGAAAAAGGAAAACTTGATGTTAAGACTAAATTTGTGATGAAGAAATTCGGAAAATGCAGGGAAAACTGAAGGAAAATCCGGAAAACTCACAATTCGATTGAGTTCCACTCATTTCGGTGATGAAAATTTTCAAAAAATAGTAAACAATCTTTTTATTTTTTCGGCGAGCCATTAATATTGATATATATCTCCATAATGTGACAGGGTTGTAATTTCTTAACTGCCGGCTTGTAGCATCGAAAACCTTCAATTACCAGAGCAGAAAAAAATGATGAAAAAATCCAGAAAACAAGTTAAAAAAAAATTCAGAAAATCTTTCATTTCGCCAGTCGCCATTTTGACTCCCTCGGAGCGATCCAATAGTGGAAATCTCCCCAGAACGATTGGAGTAAATACCCAAACCTTTTGTGACACAGTGAAATGAGGAGATTTGTTTAATGAAAATAATTTCCAAGTTTTTCCCAGATATCTTAAGAACCCATGGAGGTACGCCCTTTCGTGATAACTCATTAGAAAGCCAGGGAAATTTCCGACTAAAAAGATAAACCTGTTTTGCCCCTTTATCCATGGAGATGCAGTAAAAACAAAATTCTCAGGGAAACAGGATTTATTATGAGAATTTTCAATCGAAAATTTTCCGCCCTTTTTAACACGATCACTCCCCTCGTCCCCTCCTTCGCCCCCTCCCGTTCTCGAGATATCGACAAAAAACGGAAAAAGTGACATTTTCTCTTCTTCTCATTTCTCTAAAATAAACGAAACAATGTATTATATCGAGATTAAGAAAATTCAATAATTTTTAAGAAAAAAAACACCTACTGTATATAATAACTGTACTGTAATCATTGGTAATGCACTCTTCCACGCGAAAATCTGAAAACAAAGAAAGAACTCGAAGGAAAATAACAAAGCAACTTTGAATTCGTCGATTTGACGAAGAGAAATTTTCAATCAAAGTTTTTAATCCCTAATTTGTATTTTTATTATTTTTATTATGTTCCATTGTTATTAGTTTTTACGCACTATCGACTATCGCAATGAATTAATTAATTGTATGAATTATTAATGAGATATAATTGTAACAAAAATACTGTTAACTATTCTTAAAGACAAAAATGGACAAAAAAAAGATTAAGAAAAAAAAAAATGAAAAACTTTTGTAAACTGAGATCAAGTGACGTCAAAGAAAAAAAAAGTGTTCTTCGGAATTTTTGAGTTTTATTTCTCTCATCCGTTGTCTTCCTGCCGATCAATTGTACTTATGAGTGATGATGAGGTATTCGTTTATTTTATAATCCCTTTATATGAGTTTCAATCCCATTTCCTGTTTGTGCTGCCACAAATGAACGAGTCAAAGTCTCTAAATGTGTCTGGCGCCTTTCGAGTGAAGTGTGGGGGCTGTTTTCTACCTAGAAATCTGAACGGAGAAACCTGAAACCAGAAAGAAACCCCAAAACTCATATTTTCCCACGAAATTCCCTTTGAAAAAACATCTACCACATGTTTCCCATTGAAATATATTTTCCATTTCGTTATTATTTGGAATTCTATTGGGTGATGTGCTTTTCAATTCTACCTCTTTTAGACTGAAATCCCGAACATTGAAACCCATGAAGAATGCGATCCTCTGCAGCTCCAGGATAGATTTGAGTCTAATTCTCGGGTCGGGTTGTAGTAATCTCCTGAGGAGATCTTCGGATGCTCTAGAAATCTCAATCCCCTCAGGTAAAATACCGGCAACAACTTCTAAGTCAATATCCTCATCTGACGCCTCCTTAATCGTCGTCACCGGATACTGCAACGCAAAAGTAAAGAATCATTGAAAATAGACGATCAGGCAAATTGTCAATGAGCCCACGTGCCAATGCACGGACTGGTACTGCAGTTTTATTAATATTCATCGCGGGGATGACGAGAATTTGAATTCAAGTGATTATGAAAAACTGGTTCTGGAGATATCAATTTTTGCAATCTTTCAATCTCAAACGGCGGGGGTTGGGAGTGAACCGGATCGATATTGCACCTGTGATCAATACATTCAAGTTATCTAATTAATATCACAATTAATTAATTTCAAACATTGTCTGTCAATTTCAACAACTGTTCCGATTTTTTACCATTTTTTTTCAATATTTTTCACTTTAGTTGAGAAAAAGATTTCTTTTAAAAAGTGCATGTTATTCGTTTCACGATGCGTTTTAATACAGCTTTGCACCGCCATCTTGTTTGATCCCCCTTCTGTCCGCGAAAATGGTCGCCAAAATGACGGCGCTCCACCTCGCATTTTCAAACGGTTATAAAAATTATTTATACCCACGTAATGAGCCTCGACTCATCTTACTCCTTTCGTGTAAAATGAACCATTTTTTCGCACCATCTTGCGGTTATTTTCCATCGGTATGAGAGACTCTATCCATCTACAAATGAATAGCCATTAAATTGCCATCAGAAATGATCGAGAGATCGACGAATGATCCTTGAAAAATTTCTCAAAAGTTTTCCGCTCTGGAAATTCTCGTCGGTTTTAAAGTACTCCGCAGAATCAAGTGGTATAAAAAGCACGTATTATTCCAACTTCGCGTGCAATTTGCAATTACCTCAAGGGTTGAAGTTGAAGTGCACTCGTAATAAGGGGCGACTCGCCAAGATGCTCAAAGATCTCTCGAGACAGGCAAGAAGTTCGATGACTTCTTCTCCACCCCAATCCTCGAGAATTCTGATATTTTTTTTTTCTCAGTTTTTTTTTTATCAGCAGAGTGGTCACTCGAGGGCAAGTTCAAAAGATGCCGGTAATACTAGACACACCGGTGTTAAATGCTAATGCCTCGCCATGGCCGCTGTTCGTGCCAATGAGTAGTTGAAGGTGGCTAATTGCTGAGCAAACCGCGTGTGAGTTTATTCCACTCGTCTCGCGGAGGCGACCCGACGACGCCGTTTGTTGATGACGCCAAAACAACATCAAATCTCCAACCGATAACGAACTCGATCGTCCATGCATTCGATTTTACGGGGTTCATCATGACCTCAATCAACAGATCGAAAAAAAATCATGAAATAAAAAAAAAGACGATCTATTTCGCTCCAGCCGTTCCAGAGAAAATCCCAAATATATCCTCATAGATCATTCATCAATCCCTAGATCACTTCAGGTGTGCCATCGAAGTAGATCACCTACTCATTCGATAGATCGAAAAAATTCCACCAAAACGAAAAAAAAAATCGTTAGAATCGGCACAGTAGAACGGGCGTTAATCTCAAAAGAATTTCCATAAATCATTATCGATCGGCTAGATCGCTTCCAGATTTTCCGCCGTAGCTCAGAATCTATGGGTTCTAGAAAGATGGTCTTTTTTTTATTTTCGGGTCAAATTTTTCGATCTATCGACTGGGGCCACCCTCGACCCCATCTCACGTGAATTCCATTTTTCATAATTGGCGAAAATCGTTTTAATCACTTGATAAAAAAGTGGTAAAAACGTGAAATCCAAAAATTTGGGAATATAATTTTGCATTTAACATGCAAAGAGTTGAGTACGTCCTTTGACGAAGGCCGTGGGCAATGGTATAATCTCCATAAATTTGTGTTTGCCTCTCAGAGAGTACGAATGGTTCATTTAAACGATGATGTATTATACACACCTGGCCTCTCCGTTATTCTACATAACATTCATCTCCATATTAGCATAGATCTCCCCCCACCATCCGTGACTCATAAATCCGCATCAAGACAGTCTAAACACGTTTTAAAGTATTCACAAGTGGATACTAAAAAATATCATTTCCTAAGAAATCATAAAAATTATTCTCTTTCATTTTTTTCCATCAATTGAGGAACGAGTTATTCACAATTGCAATTATCATTGTGCCAATTTGAAAGGTTATTTGAAATATTATCTATGAAACATTTGTTGATGGTTAACCGGTTGATTCATTAAGGATAATCAATGGTGACATTAAAATATTTCGCATTCTCTTGATATTTCTCGACAATCATTTTTCCTTCATTATCCCACCAAGATGATGGCACGGGAGTCGACAGTCATTTCAATCGATCGATCAAAACATTTATGATTAAATAAAAAAAAAAATAGGTCTCAACGCGCCCGCCATTTGCCATTTTTATATTAATTGTCGATGTATCGATTATCAGACGTTTCATCCAATTTTGTTTTTGGTTTAGAATTTGAAAATACTTCGAGAAGTGATGGGTTTTCTCCAGTGACAGATGATTGATCATAACCGGAAGTCACGGAACAGAGAGGAAGTAGCGAAGACAATACGTGTGTCTCACCTCACAAAAAATTCACACAATTCGAATAATATAAATAATTAAGTGATTTAAATAGCTGCAAAGTTAATTCCCTCAAGTTTAAGTCCATCGACACCATTTCTATTTCTGTCCATCACCCCGTGTGGTCGTTCTCACGTTCTCTAGTCTCAATCAGATCTATCGGATACCATCGCCAACCACCACACGCGTTGCAAGGAATAAAAAATCAATTTTTCTAATGAAAAAATAACAAAACTCTCAAAAAACTCCGCACCCATCGCCGAGGTCATTATTAACCCCAAATTCCTTTAGAAAACGCTAAAAGAAATAATTCCAGGCATCGTATCCTTTTTATCACTAGCCATCAATATTTTTATGTTTACCGTTGATTTAATGTGATTTTGTTAACCCATTTTACAAAATTTACAGCTCCAATGTTAGCGCCAAGTGTTCAGTTGATAAAACGTTAAAAATAAAGGCATTTTTTTTTGTTTAGGTAATAAAAAAATCCATATCTGCGTCATATGAACTCATTACAGACCAGCTGGACGACTTACCCCATCCGGTGATCATATAATCTATAAATAGCCCGAGAAAAGCAGAAATAAAATGTAGTAAAAAAGAAAATGGCAGAAGAAGATGCTACCTATCTATACCCACAAGGTTGATTATTCTATGGCGCCATTGGACACATCCAGGGCCCCTTAACGCTCACTAATGGAGAGTTGGTTTTAATGTTTTCGACCCATGTGCTAAACCTCAAGACCGGTTGAGCGTTTCACATCTCAGTTATTTTTTATTCTCCCATTTTGCATTCACCTTTTTGTGTTGTTAATATTTATGGGGTAAGAAGCCCAACGGCTTCTGAATTTTCCTCTATCCATCTAATTTCCCTGGGGCTGAATAGTTTCCGCATTCCGGTGTCCCTTTTTTTATATCCTGACCAGCTGGCAGACACCGATTCAAAACAAAGAAGCGCCCCATCGGTGATAAAAATGAGGTTATTTTTAGAATCGTCGGGTATCACGCGATTTACTAATCCTACGGCGTTCAAAATGCCGCCATTTTGTAGGTCGGAAAATTTACCAATTAATTAAAAAAAAGATTGTCATTTTAGCTGCCGTAGAACAGGAGTTATGAGGGAAAATAGAAATGAGATCTAATGATCGATTAGTGATCTATAAAGTTTGATTTGGGATTTTCTCGGGATCTACTGGACCGAAATGGATGATTTTTTTTTTAATTCGTGGGTAAATTGGACGATCTAGCGGATGCAGTCATTTTCCAGGTCACAATTGTTTCGACGGCAATTCTGAAATTTCGGAAGTGCAAAGAACTGGGAACACATTAGTTATAGGAGTAAAAAAAATTGAAAATATGGTAATGTAGTCGTATTTTATTCTAGAAACAAGTCTCATACATCCTCGCAACCATGTTCCCGGTATTCCCTGTGGTCTAGGTAAGTGAGTCTACCAGTTTTCATTCCACCTTCATTACAAAGTCGTCTTCTTCTTTACTCCACATCCACTTGCAGCAGTGCAATTCTATTTATATCGTAGCCAACCTCGTCTTGGGCGCCTGCAGGATTGCCGGTGTCTTCGTTCCCATTTTTTTCCATTTTATTTTCCTCCATACTTTTCATCATTTCAAAGCTCAATATTCCGTGAAGTTGAAAAATTCCAATAGTGGATACTTATTTTCATGATTTTATCGTAGACGTCAGAAATAATAACTGAGTTGAAAAAAAAATTCAAAGCCTGGGCAACAATTTACTCAATTTATTCATTTCTCCGTGGAGCGCTCGTATATCAACTCTTCAAAACAAAAAAATGATAAATGCCCGGTTGAGTTTTTTGGCCGAGCCAAAAGCCCTAAAACCCGCTGCCAACCACTTTAAAACCCTCCGTGGATGTTAATCTCCTTGTCAGAAAACTTAGCAAGGCCAAAACCTCTCTTTAAAAAAAAATTACTAAAAAAGTGTACAGCTCAAAAACTTAATTCCTTTCCACAGCAAAACCCCTTATTTCAAAGTTCTAAGATACGCGAAAGTCGGGGTCAATAATGACCCCAGTAGACGGAACGGAAGATTTACCGTCAAATTAAAAAAAAGACGACCCCTGTAGCTGCCATAGAACCGGAGTTACACCGAAAAATGCAAATGCGATCTATCCAATCGATAATGATCTACGAAATTTCATTCGTGATTTTCTCCGGAACTACTGGGCCAAAATAGATCGTCTTTTTTTCCATTTCGATTGAGATTTTCTGATCTATCGATTCTGCCCATGAACAGCACCTTATTACCAAGAGGGCGTAAGTGCAAAGGTACGATATCAGAAAATCACGGCGTTCGATTGAACAAAGAGTGGCACCCGCAGGATTTTACCTCGTTTCGCTTGGAGAAGGTACTCACGCACCGTAGATAATAGCCAGTGGTGTCTATAAATAGAAAGAAGGCACACCGACGGGGGTTCCAACGATCGTCTGAAATGGCGATAAAGCGAGATGGAGAGAATTGAACTGAG